CACAAAGGCAGGAAATGTGGGATCTGGAATGAGAGGAAAGATTACTTTCAAAATAAAAACAGGAAGTGACAAGATCAAAACACAAAACTAGAGTAAAAACATAACTAAACCTAACATATCTGTCGAGTCACAACAGGGATGTATAGTATTTCCATTTGATGTAGTAGTCCGGCCATACAAAATAAGAGCCTTGGTTTTAAACATTCATGCTGGAAGAACACAAAAAGCTTTACCTTCAAAGTTTTTTCTATCTAGAATTGTAAGATTTTAAAAAGCTACTTTTTATTTCTCGGAACTCAAATAAATAAATAAATAAATAAATCCCTTTTTCCAGATAAAAAAAAAATCTGATTAAATTAAAGAAAGAAAAAAAGGACGTTAAGCACACATCTGCGCAAATATATACATACATATGTTAGATTTGTCTGCTTGCTTTTTATGTGTATTTGCATTTAACAATTCTGTATTGGAGAGGATATCGAGTCTGTGAAATTATAAAGTAAAAAAGTGGCAACAAATTCAGAATAATCTAAACAATACATTTCAATTTAATTTTGTGGCAAATATTCTTGTAGATCATAAAACATTAGACAGGATAAATGAAAAGATAGACCTGCAGGTTGCGCAATAGATCAGTGAAGAAATGGTCCAATCTGACCCTTTTCATGGCAACATGCTAACAGTTTAGATGTTTGACACAGCTGGTTTGATTCAACAGGTTCAGGTCAGTAAACCTTTCAGAGGTAATAAAATGGGAAAACCCCGCCTACACACTACTTCCTTATTTTACCTTCATATATTGAAATCAGCATTCTTTAATCCGAAAGGCAAGATGAAGGAGTGTGATCTCTTTTCTATGATTTGATTATATTACAGAAAGAAATGGAAATAGCTGTGATACACTTCATCGTCCTGGGAGTCCTCTCAGGTGAGCTCTTACCGTTTGATACTCTTCAGCAGCTAAAAGTGTTTGGTCATCAAAGTTTAACCATTAAATATTGGTCAGTCAGTTTCTCTCAGTTGACAGAAGTTTCCCTGTTGTTCAAATCTAATGTCTATAAGAGGTTTAGAACCCAAAGCTGCTGTGAAACCTGGTTAGTAATGTATGTATGTTTGCAGTTTTAAAAAAATGTCAAAGCTCTAACAGAAATTGAAAACAGTCGTTGGGCTTATTGTACCCAGAGGAACTGGATTTTAATTTTTCAGAGAGAACAGATATTATCTTATTTGCAGTTTGGTGTTTTGAATAGTTTCTACATTAGATCCATGTCTGTCTCTCTCCAGGTTTAACTGAAGGAGCTGGTGTGTTGCCAGACGGTCCTCTGAATGCAGCTGTGGGAGGGAAAGTGATGTTCACCACAACACTGACTCCAGGAACACCATTTCAATCAGTGACCTGGAATTTTGGTGTTAAAGAATTATTTACTTGGAATGTTAACAACTTCACTGCACCAGAGTATGAAGGCAGGATCACCTTCTTCATGTCTACTGGATCTCTGGAGCTCAGGAACCTGGCTCTAACTGACAGTGGAGAATACACAGTTAACATTTTCCCACCTGTAGGACCATCACAGTCAGGGACCACAAGACTGGAAGTATACGGTGAGAGAAGTTTCACATATTGCATCTCTTTCTATGCTCAATAAAGGTTTGGCGTAGCGATTGATCAAGTAAACAATGATACAAGGCTTTTAATTCTTTGCACTATCATCCTCAAATAAAAATGTGGTGGAATGAACGTATATAAACTTTCGATGTGGAGCCATTAATAATTAATATCTCATCTTAAACATGAGACTCACTCCCAGCCACTTCAGTATTTATTTTCTACTGCAGCTTTATGAGATATTTTGTTGTGTTTCACCCACAGAGCCAGTCTCCAATGTGATGGTAACCTCCAGCAGCACAGAGCTGGTGGAGTTCAGCAGCTCCGTCAGTCTGTCCTGCTCCTCCTCTGGATCCTCTCTCTCTTTCCTCTGGCTGAACAGCAGCTCTGAGGTTACAGGAAGTGACAAAGTTCAGATCACTGATGGAGGATCCACTTTAACTATAGTTAATGTGACCCGCTACGACCAGGGACCATTTGAGTGTCGTGTATCTAATCCTGTCAGTCCGGTCACCAGTGCTCAACTAACCCTCACCATCTACTGTGAGTTACTAACCTGCATGCTCAGTTTATTTACCAAACAAGATCTAGTTGCAAAGACTTTGGATAATTGTCAGTTTCTTCTGTTGTATTTTTGTTCACGCATGGGTTTATAAAATATTAAAAGATATGTTCCACTCCTATTTGAATCCATCACATCCTCCCTGCACACTACAGCACAGTCTGAACTAAATCATTGTAAACTGGACACTTATATTTAGAAACAGTTCATTGCATGCTTGCTATGTAATAGAAGTTCATTGTATTTGTATAATAATGCAGTTTTGAATACTAACGTTTTGCTGTTGTATTTACCCTAAATTCAGATGGCCCAGAAAATAGTATTTTGACAATATCTCTGCCAAAAGAGCACCATCAGGAAGGATCAGACATCAGCCTGTCCTGCTCAGCTGACTCCAGACCTCCTGCTCAGTTTCAGTGGTTTCTGAATGGTAGTGCGTTGTCTGATACTGGACCAGAGCTCCAACTGATGAACGTTCAGATCAGTCAAAGTGGAAGCTACAGCTGTCAGGCCTTCAACGACAAGACTCTGAGATATGAAATGACTCCGCCTGCATCCATCTCTGTACTGGGTAAGTTTGCATTGAGAGGTTTAATGCATATAGACGCGATAAGAAAGGTGTA